AAATGAATGCCCTCTATAGTGGTATCACCCATGGAGGGATTTCTTTATTTAAATGGGTTCATTTTTCAGAGGGATACAAAGTGAGGGTATCGTGATTTTAGTAATTACATGTTTATAAGAGCGATTTTCTGTTGTCCTTCCATGGAAGCGTGCAGCTTTCAAACGGAAATAAAACACTTTTTAATATAAGTTGCTGCTTTGACATGATCACAGAACTGCCAAAACATATGTACAAAAATCCTCAATAAAACATAAAATATTTGAAAATCAGACACCAGACAAAGTGAATCACAGCAACGTCATCAGCCGGTGTAACGCTGAACTGATGCGGTGAAGCTACTAGTAGCAGGAGCGGAGCTGCGCCAAGAAGCTACAAACACTGAATAGAAGGAGAGCTGCCATTGATACAGTTCTAGCCAAGCATGTTTTAATGTTACACAATACAATTTTAACAAGTTGCTCAAAGTCTAAACTGGTATTGTTGTGCATTTAAGGTGTAAAGTTTACCTTCGACCAAACGCCCCCCAAAGGAATCCCAGCGCCCCCCTTTTGTAAAAATTTCCGCCAGCGCCCCCTGCCGTGCGTGGGCGGGGCGGAGCGACAAGAAGACGAAGGGGGAACCGTATCTGATGGGGAAACGCGGATTGACGTAACAGGGGCTATCGCTACATGAGACTGACTCACTAAAGGGCTATTCCACTAAATTCACCAACTCGACACAACGTTTGAACCAGGAGTGCACTGATTGCAATTTTCTCGCCGATCTTTAAAAAGTCTATCTGCTGATTAAGATTTGGCCGATACTTTTTTTTTTTTTTTTTAACATATAACTGACACTTTCATATGTTGGCCCTGAAGGGCAGAGCATGCACACAACACACAACATTAACTAAGCACAACTACAAAAGAAGGAAAGGCTTCAAGAAGCATTTTAGACTGAACTTCGTGTATTCCAGTCTTTAAAACGGCTGCTTGTGTGTATGAAATGGGCCTCATTTATTTCATTAAAGCAGTTTTTGCTAGAAAATAATACCTGAAAACAAATGTTAATGCGACTACTAATAATATTGCTGAACTGCTAAAGAAACCTGAAAACTAATATCCCCTGTTTTCTGTTAGTGAGCAGACATGACTGTCGCAGAGCTGCTTCTGGACTGTCTGGAACAGTTGAATAAGGACGAATTCGGGAAATTTAAGTGGCATCTGAAACAGCACAAGCTGGAAGGTTACAAGCCGATACCTCAGTCTTACCTAGAGGACGCAGAGCGGACCAAAACAGTGAGTAAGATGATAGAGAACTACACAGAAGACGTTGCTGTGACGGTTGCTGTGGCCGTCCTGAAGAAACAACAAATGAATGATCTTGCACAGAAGCTGTTGAGCGTACATCAAGGTGATTATGAGATTACTTGATTCCCTTTTTGGCTACACTTTCACCCTCTGCCATGTCTGTGCAGTAATCAGCTGATTTTTTTATTTTTTTAAGTGCAGAAAAATTGAGTACTGTGTCCTCCACCACTTCTTCTTCTGGAACCGCACCTGAAAGCTCACCTGCGGCCGCACAACCTGCAGCTGCGCAACCTGCAGCTGCGCAACCTGCAGCTGTAGCCATGCCGCCTACAACTCCCTCAATGGTAGCGCAGGAGGGAAGTGTGATCTTTGCTCCAATCATCAACAGTAGTGAACCCGGAACATGGAACATAACTCTTAGCAAAAACTAATGAAACTGATGTCATACAGTAGAACTACGTGAACCGCAGCCCATTTCTAGTACTGTATTGCAATGGCATTATTGTACTTTCTTTTACATTTTTCTCAGCAATTTTCGTTTTATTTTCAGAGGTATGATAATTAAGCGACTGTCGCACAAGTTTCACAGGAAATGAATGGAGACTCGCAGAGGGACAGAAAGATTCCTGAACCAGTTTACCTTTTGGTACACTGGTTCACTTCCTGTTCTGTTGTATCACATCAGTTCAAGTGTTTCTTTTTCAGAGATATCCACTTTCTTTTTCTTTTTTCTTTTTACTTCAGAGGTATTCCATCCATCATGTCTGCCCATTCTGCTGATGCTCTTCTTAGGCTGCAGATATCACTATTTTACTTATAAAAGATGTTTATTGGCATTCCCAAATAATAAAGTCTGATATCTACAATGAATGTTTCAAAATGTTTGGGTATCTTCCTATGAAACAGAAAGGTATGATCAAACCGAAAGTTATGGCTCTTATGAAGGATTTATTTTATGCTGATTTAATGGAACTTCAATGGAAAGAAAAACTGATCTTTTATAAGAAGTGATTTTTTTTTGTGTTGTGTTGAAGAATAATTTTAATTTTTCACTCTTTCGTCTGTATTACCAGTTGCCTTAAGATTAGCAAATGTTTGAGAAATTTATATTGCAGAATATTTGCTTGTCTTTCACAACTTCGTGATATGTTCATTGCAATAATGACCATATGACAAATATTATTAAACATTTTAAATTTGCAACTGCCGTGTTGTTGTTGTTACTGCAGCTGGCAACCCAAAAAGACAACAAACTAGTCATTTACATTTTGTCTGTCTCCTTTATTTTGCGTTTTAATTTATGCATGTGTCTTTTTTTTAATTTTTTGTCAATCCCCAGTATGTTTTTTTAAAGACATTATGTTGCCTATTTCTGTCATTATCTTACATGTTTGTATTGCTGCACATGTGTGTGATTCCACATCAGATTAAAGGTCAAAACAAAGATTTTTTTTTCTTTTTTTTTTTTTGCTGCACAAATATTTGACACCAATTTCGTTTGATTTGGGTAATGGGGGAGGGAGGGGTGGACCTGTTGACGTTTAAACTTCCACGAATATCTTCAAAGCAAAAGCAGCAGCAAAAACAAACAAAAAAACAACATTTTTGCAGCACACGTTTAGCTAATAAGTTGAAAGTTGACTGACACCAATTTTGATTGATTTGAAGAAGCTGCGTGGGGGGTGGGGGGGGGGGGTTGGTTGAACTTTCGTGACCTCTGGAAATATTTATTAAAATCTTTAAAATCATAGGGACACAAAAATGTTGCTGTACAAACCAGGACAAACGGAGCACAAACGTTTCACACCAATTTTGTTGGTGGGGTCCTTTGGACTCTTTACAAGTAACAGAATTTTAAGTGAGGTTATCCAACATTATTGCCATCACTTTGACCTTTTTAGAGTTGTTTAAACTCGTTTGACTCCTTATTTATTTACTTACTTACTTACTAATCTCACAGATCCAATACTACGTGGAGGGGTGGTTCCGTTCCACGTCAACGTCCTAGGTAATCCACGTGACCTAATGTAGCACAACGAAACACAAGGTATAGACAAATCGTGTCAATAGAAATTTTGACACTGTTAATAACGTTTTGACTGAAGAGCTGCCATAAATCATGTTTATCCCCTCACTAGCCTGCGGGACATATTTATTCCAGCTGTAGAACAAATAATTTGTTGTTCTTCAGTTTGTGACGGCTCTGTCCGAACCCTCCGTAATATTGCAAACCAGGAAGTTGCAGTTTCCCAACGTCTGCGACAAGCTAGCTGGTAGTTTACGCAATGAAAGAACTTCTACATTGGAAAACATAAAGGACGGTGTTGTTATTTAACAACGAAATAGGTCATTCGCGTGGGTGAGCATCGTTTACAATTTCATTGTAACGATTCGAGACCGGAAGGACTGCTAGCAAGCTTGTTGTTTAGCCATCTGGCAGAATTGTCGACAGCTAACAGTTAACGTTAGCAGGTGTTGTGATGGCTGTGCCGCACATACAGTTCTCCTTTGCAGCAATTTTACTCTTAGTTCTGCTGTCGGGGTGTAACGCGAGGATACACAAGCTCAGTCTAAAGGTAAGTGTGTAACACTATTTTGGTTTAGAGTATCGTCAGCGTTAGCCCGGGTAGCTTATGCTAACATCACGAGCATTGACGTTGCTTCACTAAACCCACAGCGTGTTGATTACATTCAATGGCATAAAAGATGTCAATGCCATTGGTGTCACACTGTTGTACTTATGCCAAATATGGATGTGTTTGTAAAGGAGATTATGCAGTAGCAAGCTTCGGCTGTGGCTATTTCATGGTTTCTAGAAAACCTGAACTTTTTTAGACTCAAAATTTAAAATGGTCAAACCAAAACTGTAATTATGAATGTATTAAATTACAATTTTTGATCTTTAAAATCTTTATGTTTGTGGAAAAAGAACACGGTTAAACAAGTAAAAGCGGCGCTTGCTTGGCATTTAGACAACGTTTAGATCTGGTCAAATGTGACAGTGGGCATGTTGACGTCATGCAAATTGTTCTGCGTCAAAACAAACAATTTTAGCTGAAAAATCACATAAAGTAAGCCAATATCATGTGTGTAGATTATAAATTGAGACAGTCTCTCAATTTCCACAAAAAGGTGGGACAAAAAAAAAAAACTGCCAAACATTTCTTAAATATATAATTTTTAGGTATTTCCATAAAGTATTCCACAAATTAGCTAAAATAAACATTTTACCGATTAAAAATGTTGATTTTTAGCTAATGGATTTGCTACCTTCCCTTTACTCATCTCAAAATCTGCTTTGACTGAAACCTTCAAATTTGTTTCTCATTCATTCTGAGCCAATTAGCTTGTCGGTCTCACAACAAGCATAATTGGTCTCAATACTTTAACTGTATTTATGGTTAAAGTATTTGTGATCAAAAATCTTAAACTTGTTTTTTTCAGAATGAAACACGGTTTGCCATTGACCTCAACAATTTTGGTTTCTTCGCAAATGGAACTCTAAATGTGAGTCTGTCCTCCCTGTGGCTCAGTGACATTGTGAACTACAGCATCTACCCAGTAAGTCTGTTTGTTTTCATTTCCTTTCAGGTAAATGTAAAGAAAAAGAAAAGTTGGAGGAAGCAGTAGTAATATTATTCTGCCCATATTAGTTTTGCAGTAGGAACTCTAGTATGTTCTTTTAGATCATGGTCGAGAAATGATAATAATGAGGTAATTCATACAGTTTTATTTTTTTATTGGATACATTTTGTCTTCATTTATAAGACTGGTGTAATTTACTCACTGCTCGGTTTTGAAATGCTTGATTACACAGTGCTGACAAAAGGAAACCTCTGTTCTTTTGTGTGACTCGATCTACGTTTTTGTAATTTATTTAAGAGACTTTGTTTGCTGCAGGCCATTGTCGATACAAAGGGAGCACATTTCTGACAAAAATCTCAGAGATTTTTAGATTAATCTCAGAAATTTGTTAGAAAAAACTTGGAAGTTTGAGTTTGAAAAATCAGAAATTTTCTAGGAAAAAACTCAAACATTTTTAGATTAATCTCAGAAATTTTCTAGAGAAAATGAGTTTCAGAAGTTGAAAATGTTTGAGAAAACGATGCTCATCTGAAATGGGCTTCTTCGCAATATCTCTCAAATAAAGAAATGATTTCTATCATTAAGCTGCACACAGTAATTGCTTTTTACTATATTTATGAATTTACTGATATTTATCGATGCCCACGTGGAACAAACAGCAGAGAACAGTAAAACTAAGATTTCCAATAATATAATAATGATAGTAATATATTTTTTTATATTAATTGAAAATTATCGAGAAAAATAAATGAGAATTCTCCTACGAAATTTTTCATGATAAACGATACAATACATGCCCACCTGGCCTGTCACAATAAGCAATAAATCAGTGAATCACATTATAAATCACAATTACTTTTTTTTGAAGGACAATTTTGCTTACAGAGACTTAAAGGTTCATTTTTTGTTGTTGTTTCTGTTTTATTTATTTTGGATATTTAAAATATCTTCCAGTTCCAGTATTAAATGTTGGTTGGAATTTAAAAGTTTGCTGATCTTTGAGAATGTGTTCTTGTGTTATTATTCAACTAACATTATGTTACTGGAAAATGGTCTCAAAACGACAATGTGTTATCATTTATCGCGATAACTTCTGGGATATTTTATCATCCAGGAAAATGTATCATGACAGGCCTAACCACCACTAATCATATGTTTTCTCTGTCTATTGATGGAAATCAATGCCAATAATATCAAAACTGATTCAGGTCCTCATTGTTGTCTACTTTAGGTTGGCTTCAGCCTGTCCAGGTCTCGAGTTAATGGGGTGTTGTCGTACACAGTGAGTACCAACCTTCATAGTTAAACATTGGATTTTCTACAGCTCTCAATCAGTTGGGGACATCTATTCTGTATAGTAAAACATATCCTTGATAATATATCATCTACTCAATGTCATTCATTTCAAATTTTTTTTTTTTACCAGAGAAGGTTAGAGTCTTGTTGTGTTCTCCGTAGGCGGAGGAGACCGAGGTGTGCCCGCTCACGGTGACGAAGACCACCAACGATGAACCTCTTATTCTTTTTCTCATTGACAGCAAGAATCTGGGGTGTGTGTTGTTTTTAGATCATAAGTTTTTAATGTGTCACAGCTTTGTGCGAAGGTTAAGTGTTTGACTTCTGTCCGTCTAGAGTCAACGTGAGTGCCATGGGCGTTCAGGATAATTTCCTGATTGCCAAAGCCAAGTTGGATAAACCTAAAGGTTTGTGTTGCTGATTCTAACACTTCCTCACATAACTGCTGCAGAGTGAATGACGCCACTGTTTTAAAGTGACTAATGTTAATCTTGATGCGTTTCTGTGCCTCCATTTCTGTTCAGAAAAAAAGGTTACAAAGAGGGCTAATGGCAATGGAGAACCAAACGATGCAAATGAGAAGCCATTAAACACAAACCCAAAACAAGATGATGGGAAAGGGAAAGAAGAACCAGCAGAAAACAAAAATCCAAACCCTGCTGGGGAAGCTAAGAAAGTTGAGGAAGCTAAGAAAGTGGAAGAAACTACATTTCTGGTGAGATTGTTTTATTTTTCTTGTGGCTAAATATTTGTGCAGTTTGTTCTTTCAATCAGCGTCTTAACTGGAATTTTTTTTGCAGCTGAACAGTTCAGTCAAGCCGATTTTAGCCCTGGACAAAACGAATGGCTTGTACAACTTCAGCGTAAGTGCCCTTTTCTCTTCATTTAGAAAACATTTGGGAGCATTTGGTTGGTTTGCTCGTTGATGTATGTTACAGGATTGGACATCTATGTGAATTGTTGTTACATGCGCCATTGCTATGCGTTGAATCAGGAATATCGCTGGTCGGGAAAATGACACGATCACACAAAAAAGTCTAAAAAAGGGTTTCACTTTTAGTTGTCGTCAAATGCAATCATATTATAGACAAGAAAACATTACATCCAATAGAGAAAAATAAACCGACTGAAGAATATAACGCGAAAGAATATAAACATATCTATGGAGCACCAGGAGTAAATAAATTAAACTTTTTTTTCGCACTCCTAGACACTTAAAGTACGCAAAAAAATTATTTAAGGGCTAAAAAAATATATTTTGCAAGTCATTATAAACCCTGTAACTCTAAAATAAGGCAACTGACCTGTCACCCACTCTCTGACAGGTCATTAATAGAGCAGGTGTTTAAATTAGCTAATCAGCCACCATTGAGTTCAGACAACCAATTATTAATAATCGCAAAATAAACATCAAGCCAGAAAACATGATACTGTAACAGACTGAATGTTCTGCTTTGTCGTTTTTACGTTCTTTTTATGGGGGGAAATGTTATGGGCATCTTTGGTTCCTGATGCCCATGACTGTAATCTCTGCTCTGTCGGCTGGCAGAGCTTTTGTCTTATCGGTTGCTATGGCAATGGGTCAGTGTGTGATTGCCTCATTTATCCGTAGAATGTGGCGATATTGATGACGATCGTCAAATAGGATGAAACATTTCATAAACTATAGAAGCAATGGTTAGTTGAACTTGAACATGCTATGCCTTCTACAGGCGCAATTATGTAAAATTAAATTATTGACCAATATAAAAGAGAGATCCCTTAGTCCTCTCTCAGAAAGCAAAATATTTATAGATTTAAATCCAGAAAGAATACATAGTTTATGTGTCAGAAGATCTGCAATTTTCTCATTTTTAATAAGTCATTTTATAGAAATCGGGTAGGAATTAAGGGCGCCATTGTTGTAACAGCTTCCTGCTCATCCTGCATTGGAACAGTATGGTTTTGTGGACGTGACTCGATGCGTAGCAATGGTGCCTGAAGGAGCGCGTCACTAGCTGCAGCGGCTGATGGGCGCCGTCCAATCCAGTGATGCATATCAATGGTTGTGCCGTCTGGTTTAACGCGTCTCCTCCTCTACAGTTCCTTCTGGTCGTTGGCCCAAAGGATCAGGGTCTCTACAGCCTGAAGTTCCACTATTGTCAGAACAGGGTGCCTGGAGTCAAGAAGCCTTATGCCTTGACGGTGAGTCAACGAGCGTTGGCAATGCTCTGCCATTCCTCAGGCGTCTGCCAGGTGTTCATTTAACGTTCCCAACCCCCACAGGTGGACGTGGTAGAAAAGAACCCAGGAGAGAGCTACCTGTCTGCGGCCGAAATCCCCTTGTCTCGTCTTTACATCTGTATGGCCGGAGTCTTCTTCACTGCTGCTATGGTGTGGGTCTACATGCTCATGAAGCACAGGTACATCCCATGAATTACACTCAAATTGTGATTTCTTTTATGTCCCAGACGTTTTGTCATCTCAAGGTGAACACAAAAAATGTAATAGAACTTCGATTGTCTGTGAACACATCAGCCGCTTTTCATGTGATGCTTTCAAGCCAAGCCTAAGGTGCATTCTTGGCCCTCAATGGGGGTCACGTAATGACTGAGGGGCAGCGATGAAGGGGTTGAAGATATGTTGCTGTCGTTCCAATTGGTGGCCATGGTGTCAAAATATTGAGTTGTGTAAAGTGGAGGCAGCATGAGCAGCACTTTCCTGAGCATCCTCTAAAAGTCCTAAATTTATATATCTAAAATTGAGGCCTTAAAATGTTTTAAATTAATTTTTTAAAAAGTAAGTTGGCCTTAAAATGTCTTAAATTTTGTCTTAATGGGAATATTTAATCTTGTATATTCTACGTATTGTCTTTTTCCTCTGGACGTTTCTATCAGACCACAATTTGAGTCGCACTCAGACATCTTCATTATGTTCGGTGACTTAATGAACCTTTCAGGCTACCATTAACTCACTGCTGACATAGCCAGCTGCTGATGCTGGAAGTTCACCGACATGGCGGATCGGTCCAGAGAAGAGCTTCGACGACCCACCAGGATATATTTAGCTTGTGAAGCGGCCGAAATGGAAAAGCCGAAGGATTTTTATACGCAAACATCCCAGCTCTTCTCCACAGTGTTGAAAAGATTGGCTGATTGTACAAAGTGGGCGAACATCCTAAAGATGCATATTTAATACAAATTTAAACAGTACAGTAAAGCTCCCATAGCTCCTTGTTTACAGCAGCATTAAACATGTCGGACGACACAAGCGAACGTCACTCAGCAGAACTGCCAATGAATAGATTTGTTTGTTCGGATCCCTGATTATTATAGTGCTGGGAAAACCTGCTTTCCAAACACTGAATCAAAAGTTCAAGCTTCATCATATCACATCTGTCTGGTTTCCTGTTTTGCTACATGTGCTAATCCTCCTTTTTATCTAACTGGGAACTGATTCTCCTTATTTTTGTTATTTGCTCTGATTAGGACAATGAAAACATTCACATTGTTATTGATTAGGTTCTTTTTATATTTCTTAATGTTTCTATTAAAGACAACCGTTCTTTTGTCTTAGAGTATCTAAAGCAAACAGGGGGGTATTGTTCTTGGCATCTTTATTGAGTTTAAGACTTTAGTGTCATGCTAACCACACAGGCCACAAAGTTTGCCAGATGGCTAACTAGCATAAACCCACGATTGTCAGGTTGTTGACCTTCTGGAGGGTTTGCAACTGTAGGACACAGGAGATTCCCACACCCAAACCAAACAAGCACTGAGTCTTTTGAACTGTAAAAGGCCGATAAGGATTAAGGAGCAACTCATCTCCGCAGCCATCTTTATTTATTGCATCCCACATCCTGTTGAGACATGAGCCGAGTTCACACTTCAGATCTTGAACCACATTATCTTTGGTGAGTGAAAGCAGCAGCATTTTATCCACATGTGTAAAAGTAATTGATACCAACAACACTTATGGATAAGATGTTCAGAAACAAAAAAAAAACAAAAAAACCCACTGCAGATAAAACAGAAAAAAGAATCATCAACTATGGTAACATTTTATTCCATAGGGTCAGAGAAAAGCATAAACTGCCTTTCTATAACTTGAATATGAAGATTTTTCCTCCTCTGCTTCTTTACAGATACAGTGTGTTTAAGATCCACTGGCTGATGGCTGCACTGGCATTCACCAAGTCCACATCTTTAGTTTTCCACAGTGTAGGTCACAGTGCCAGTAATTCTCTTCATGTTCTCAGCAACAGCTTGAGGCATTTTCTGTTTTATCACAACAGACAAGGTAGTTTGTGTGTTCATGGCTTCTGTTTTCACAGATCAACTACCACTTTATCAACATCGAGGGTCATCCTATCGAAGGCTGGGCTGTCATGTACTATATCACACACCTGTAAGTTATTTCTGCTGGAATTTTTTTTTTTTTTATCAGGGATGTTCTGTTGTGAATTTTTTTTAGCTGATATACATATTCTCTACCATGACAATAATGGACCACACCACTGAAACGGCCTCTCTGCTGAAGTTGAACACTATGTGGTGTACTATCTCTCTCACATGGCCAAACAAATACCGGAAATATAGTTAGGAAAATACTGTATATTCTGGAATATAAGTCACAAATTTTTTTATTTTATTATTTTTTTTTTTTTTTTACAGCTTTGCTGGCTCTGCAACTTACAGTACAAATAGACTTGCATATGTTTTTTTCCTCTTCATGACACTTTTTTTTTTACTTATGCTGCTTACACTCCAAAGCAACTTATAGTCTGGAAAATATGGTAAAAGTTCGTTATTGCATCGGCACACTTTTAATTATCGGGGCAATATCAGAATGTCAAAAAATGGCGAACATTGTCCGATACCAATGTTGATCCATGCATCCAATTCATTTCTAGTTTGGATCCTGTTTGTTTTGAGCATTCTGTATTAATACTCCTGTATCTGTCAGGCTGAAGGGGGCGCTCCTGTTCATCACTCTGGCACTGATTGGGACGGGCTGGGCTTTCGTTAAATACATCCTCTCTGACAAAGAGAAGAAGATCTTCATGATAGTCATCCCTCTGCAGGTAGTGTGTGTGTGTGTGTGTGTGTGTGTGTGTGTGTGCGCGCGCGCGTATACGTGTATGTGTTTGTTTGTGATGCCTTGTGGGGCCATTTTCCTGACACATATGATGTTGTGGGGACCAACTGCTCCTTGTGGGGACCCAAGCCTGATCCCCACAAGGGGAAACGCTGTTTTTGGGTCAGGGGTCAGATGTAGAACTAAGGTGTGAATTGAGTTTTGGTTAGGGTTAGGTATGTATGGGTTAGGGTTACGTTTAGGCTGTAGAAATGAATGGAAGTCAATGGAATGTCCCCACAAAGATAGCCATGCAAACGTGCGTGTGTGTTTTCCTACCAGGTGCTGGCGAATGTTGCCTACATCATCATCGAGTCGACAGAGGAAGGCTCCAGTGAGTACTATCTGTGGAAGGAGATCCTCTTTCTGGTGGACCTCATTTGCTGCGGAGCCATCCTGTTCCCCGTTGTCTGGTCAGTGTGATGTGTTGCCTGAAGAGGCCATGTGAACTGTAGATCTAGGGTTTCACTAATTTAACACAAAAGCTAAACTGACGTAGCCTTTAGCATGTTATCCGTTAGCATTGTTAACCTCAACTGGAGTGTCGTTCGGCATTATAGAAGCCTGAATAACCAACCAACTTACCTTTGTGAAAACATATCCTTTTAAACTGCTTTATTTTGTGCTTCCTCTTAATTCAATTCTCAACACTGAGAATATCTAACTTTGAGTTTGTTACCATTAGTAGAAGCTGTTATTGTTAGCATCCTGTTAGCTCTTGGGTAAATACTGTCAATGATCAGAAAATGATCAAATTTTTTGAGTTTTCTGACTGATGGATCACTCATCAGGGTAATAATGTGGAAAAACTGTTTCTCATTTTGACAGTAATGTGTTCTACTTTTTTAAATTACCAAAATACCTATAATTAACAGACTGATAGATTTGTAGAAGCTTTACATAACTGATAGTAATTAAAATATACCCTATTAATACAGTTTGTAAGGGTACAGAAGTTTTTGATTTTAGGAACCATGTGACTGCAGAAACTGTTTTAGTGAAATAATGTGTTTGGTAAAACGTGGAATTGAAATCAAGAAGCTAAGAAAATATAATTTTTTATAATTTTGATTTATAAAAAATATATGAAACTTTGAAGAAAACAGAAATGGACTATATTTGTTTACATCCAAGTTTTCCGTTTCAATTTATCTGACTTTGTGTAGTTAAGAGTTTTTGATGAATAAATTCAGCTTATTTGTAAATAAGCTAGCAGAGTTCTGCACAGAGAACAATCGTCTCAGGACCTGAAAGTTGTGGGTTCAATTCCAGCTTCCTCCTGGGGGTCGGAGGTTAACCTCCAATTACACATCAGTGTATGAATGTGTGGCCGGTCAGCTGTGACTTTAGTGTAAAAACCTTACATTTTCACCTATTTAGCGTAGTGTTAATTTGACCTGACAAGACTTTTAAGTATCTATAGATTGACGTATTTTCTCATCTTTCTGTATCGGCAGGTCCATCCGTCACTTACAGGAGGCTTCCAGCACAGACGGGAAAGGTAGACTGGTTTCTCCCTGAGTTAAGTGAACGCATCACCATCTTTGTCCTGTTTACTCTAAACTTGAGTTTTGTTTCTTCCAGCTGCCATGAACCTGGAGAAGCTCAAGCTGTTCAGGCATTACTACGTTATGGTGAGAGAGACGCCTCGGCAAACTGTCCAGAGCTCAGTTTGTCCTAGAAAATATTTTTTTTCCTGGCAGCTGTAAAACTAGATTAACCAGAGAAAAATAGTTAGTTTTGATGAATGTGCTATTTTTCAATTTTATTAAAAAAATAAATAAATAAAAAAGACACCTGTTCGTCTTTGAACAGAACACTTTCATCAAATTACAACATTTCCCAGTAACAGTTGCCAGGATTTTAAAGGAAACGCCACACCATTAATCCTGTTTCAACAGTCTGATTTCTGCCTCCAATTGAATCTGTTCATTTATTGTAGATCGTGTGCTACATCTACTTCACGAGGATCATAGCCATTTTGTTGAAGATCACAATGCCCTTCCAGTGGCAGTGGTGTTATGAGGTAAGACTCAAATCCAGGAGCTCCACAGCAGACTCAAACATATTATTTAATAAAGTTTTTATCATTTAATTTCTGTTTGGGAATAATCGAGTATTTTCTTCAGCCTGCTGCTCTGTAGGCTGACATTTCTGGGCTTAATTAACTGTTTTATCGTTCTCTATTTATATTCAACTTTTCAGAGAAACTGAATTTGGGGTTGTCTTCAGTAAAAAACAAACTAAGGCTGAAACGATTAATTGGATTGTGATTAATCAGTTATTCAAATAATTGTCAAATTTAGCAATTGATTAACTGGATATACAGACTAAAAAAATAAGTCAATATGCTGAAAGAACCTAACATATTCAGAGTAGTAATTAAGCTAAAATTGTACAGTATAATGTAAATGTGTTTTGCATTTAGGATAAAAAAACATCTGTAAATATGTTGTACCCAGAACTCCTCTTTATCTGGTTCAAATTCACTAAATAATTCTGTTACTGCATTTAAGCAACAAAATGTTTTTTTTTTATTTTAAAAGTAATTCATTTGCATCTTGTAGCGCATTTCAAATATTGTGTAAAGAAATCCCTCAGTGGTTAAATTAAAAATTTGATTAATTGATTAATCGTCAAAAATAATTGACTACTAAATTAGTTGTTAGTTGCAGCCCTAAAATAAACACTAAAAAAGTGTAAAAATCTTTACTGAGATGATTTGAGTTTACTGAGGTCTCCCTGTAAAACACACACCTTCCTCTGGTCCTCAGTTTCTGGTGGAAGTGTCCACTCTGATCTTCTTCGTGCTGACCGGCTACAAGTTCCGACCGGCGTCCAACAACCCGTACCTGCAGCTGCCCCTGGATGAAGAGGATGTGGAGATGGATGAAGTGTGAGTGTCTCAGAGTAGGAGCTGCACCGATCCTGTACTAATATCTGTATTGGCCCCGATATTGGAAAAAAAAAATTCTATATCGGGTATCAATGACAACGTGCCCGGTCCATTAGGACTGTTATAATTTTATTATTATTAAATAAATAATAAAATGAAAATAAAAATGTAATTAGAATTTCTAATTTAATTTTCTAAACCATTTGAAAAAAAAGTTTGTTGCAGTTTATTTTTTACATGTTTGATCAAGCCTGTGAAGCTACTGGTTTATTTAATGGTGCTGTTCTGGTGCAGAGTTATCAAATAAATTAGTAGTTCAGCACATTTATGACTGTTAAAAAAACTAAAGTTTAAGTAGTGCTGTCAATTGATTAAAATTCAAATCTGGTTAATCACACTTTAGTGCTGTGATTAGTCACGAATAATCGTCATGGTTGACTTTGTAGCCTGAAATGTAAAAATGCACGTTTTCCTAAAAATGTTAAAGAAAGTCTCTTATTGTCTCAAACAAACAAGTTTAGCGGTTCAATAGAAGTTTGTTCAGCCTGGTTTTCCTGGTTCAGCTGACACTAACCCTCAGATATCGGTATCGGAAGTCAAAAAAGAGGATCAGTGCACTCCTAGTTTTATTCATTTGTTCTGCATTTAAAATGATCCCAGTCTGACATGAAGGATTCTTCTCCATGTTATTTAGGTTTTGGTTTTGTCTGTGTGTGCAGAGTGACAGAGTCGGGCGTTCTGGAGGGAATCTCCAAAGTTAAGAAGACGTCTAACGGACGCGAGCGCCAGAAAGAGCCCGCTCTGTGAGCAGGAGGCTGCGTGGTAGGGAGGGACCAGCCTCAGGTCGGGGTGGGGGCTCATATGGACCAAGACCTCCTCTCCCCCCCACTTCCACTGACAGCTCTCTGTTCAAAACTCTTCAAGTGGTTGCAAAGCTCATGCCCACTGTCTGGCTATGCAAAACATAAAAAACAAACAAAAAACAAAGATGGCTAACATGATGGAGGTTGTCCATTTTCTTTGGGGGTGCTCCACCCAAAACCTGAAGGGCCCCCCGAGGGTTTTTTTTTTTTTTTTTTTTTTTTTTTTTCTGAATGGGTGGGGAAATGGAACAGAGCTCTGAAATTCTTTTTTTTTTCTTCTCTGTTTCTCTTCAAAGCTTATTATAAATATTAATATTATTATTTTAAACAAAGACTTGGGTGTGTTCATGCCGGCTATTTAAAAACGGTACTCCTGCATTCTGCAGACAACATCTTTTTTTTTTCTTTCTTTTTTTTCTGTAAAATGGGAACCAACGTAATATGACACAAATCTAGATTTTCCTCCTTTGGATGCAATAGCCCATTCTCAGGTGAAAAGAAAAAAAAAAGAAGAAAAAATCGATGTTATCATAGAGGAAACAGAGCTTCGTTTCCCACCAATCACCCTGCACCGTTCATGTTTTGCTCATTGATTTTTAGGTTGGAATAATCAACAGCAGGATGCTTTTTTTTATTTAATTTGTTTGGTTTCAGTACGTTGCTGTTTTTTGCATATTGAAATGTTTTCCAGTATCATTGTGAGTGTCGGAGGATGAGGCGTTTCCTCCCAGTGTGTCATTTTGAAGTGCTGCTGTAATTTAGTGCTTTAGTGGTTGACAATAACCTGCTTATTCCACCATATTGACTTGAGGACCTTTAATTAAAGTGACAGTACGTTGAAATCAGGCATCAGGCTCTAAAGTGACTAGAGCTGTGGCCAGCTGAGTCCACTTTACCCACTTTTGGTTTTTAACCATTTCTTGCTCTTGATGTGAAGATTTTGATTAATTCCAATTGACTTAAGCAGCTGGACAGGGTAGAAGATCATTCATTAAAAGGTGATTTGTAAATATGACTGTTCATACAAGAAGAGACAGATTACACTTTATGAACTGCACAGTGTTTCAGGATGGTTCAGTTTCAGTGAGATTTTTGAATCTTTTTTTTTTTTATTATTCCTTGAAATGGACCCCAATCACATGAAAAGTGTGACTGAAATTTAACCAGTCATTCCTGGTTCACTCCTGGATCTGCAGTGTTTCCACACAGGCAGCCCGTCTCCATCTGCCAGGAGTCCACAGGTAAACAGTCTGTACACATTTACAGGAGTCGGATAAAGACGTTTTTTTTTTTTTTATTGTTACAGAAGGTTAATGGATTTAAGAATTGCCACAATAAAGTTGGAGTTTTTTGAAAGCTCTCTGGTTGCTGCTGTGGGTGAACAGTGACTTTATAACAGTGTTATAAAGTCACTGTTATAAACTGACTTTATAACAGTGTTTGGTTATAAAGTCAACAATTTGAATAAAAAGCTCTGGAGTTGAAAATGTTTGACAAGGTGCACACACTATAAATGTGCACAAACTGAGTCGGTATTCCAATAGTGTCGAAAAAATACAATTTCACAAACTTAGAAAACGTGTTTTCAAACTGGTCATTTTCATAATTCCAATTTGTGAAGTATTTTAGGTTAATGGAAATGCAACTGACTCAATTAAGGTTAGCCTCATTTCCTTCCTTTCCCCCCATACAATCATCTAAAATGTTTCATGAATTGTCAAAGTTTGGCAAGGTGCCAAAATTTTAGTTTCTTAAAATTTTTGACTTAAAAGAATTGAAGCTTGAGAAGTTTAAATTTGCTTTTTTTTCTTTTTTTCTCAATTTTGTTTTTCAGAAAAAAATTTGATAAAGTTGTCTTTTCAAACTTAATATTTTTTGTCAAACCTTTTTCTAAAAAATTTAGTTTCTCAAAAGTTGAACATTTAACATTTTGGAAACCTAGGAAACTTCCAGATTTTCAACTTTTGAAAATGGTCTGTTTCATGTCAAAAAATTTGACTTGAAACTATATTTTATTTAAAAAAACAAACAAACTTGGAAGCTTTCTTTGAAAAGTCAGATTTGATTAAAAAAAAAACCCCTGACATTTTCTAGAAAAACTTGTCTTTTGAAGCAAGAACGACAACAGATGCAAATGACCAGAATTGTATTATGAGATGCTTGCTGAGCTGTAAAAACATGCATGTACATACATGAGTAAAACAAAATATTGCACGTTGGTCAGTAAAATTTGGCACCAGTTGCTAACAAAGACAGTCAATTGTTTCTACAGACATGGAAATAATCCTGTATATACATCTTCAAATTGTTTATAAATGTGCAGATGGTTCAGAAATTTCACAGTGCAGACAAAATGAAGATTTTTATCCACTTATGGATAATTCCTGAAAAAAAAGTATAACTTCCTTATGAACCTAGAGAATAAGTAATTTAAAAAATAGATATTTGCTTGAATCTATGTACAGATTGTCCTTTTACCCAAAATATTCATCACAGCTCCAGTTTTAGTTCAAACCATTAATGGATTTAGTATTTGAGCCACTGTTGGAACCTACAGATGATCACAATGTTGTGCCCTCTAAACTCATATCTGCAGCTTAAACAAAGTGCCCATTTCAATATTTGCAAAAAAAAAAAAAAAAAAAAAAAGTGGGTTTTAAACAGTCTGTACATAGTGCAGCATAATACAGTGAAGACAAAAAAGCACTTTGCAGCAGAAGTTAACTATAGAAATAGTCACTGTTCCAAGTTGGAAAGATTCAAAGGTCTTAAAAGGTTCATTTTATTTTTAATAAAAGTAAGAGGCATCATGTGTGAGTATCGGCTATGATCAGCGTCATTCATAGAGAAAATATCATTCCTGCTTGCGGATTCAACGTGTTCAAATAAACATCATTGCCTCCTGTTTAAAGCCATCTGGTTGTAATGTTTTGCTGCTACCACAAGGGGGCGGTAACAGGAACAGCATTGTACTGGAGGAATATTATAGGTGGATTAAAAAAAAGTACTGTGAAGACAATTTGGTAATACTAAGCGAATGTAAACTGAAAAACCCTTTAGTGGGAATTATAAAATATTGTTTATATTCTGAAATATGATGAGAAGTACTGTGGGCTGTTCAGCAGTTTTAGTTATAAATTGTTTCAGGTTTATTCATGTGTGGCTCCAGCTGTATGTTACAGCCAATCAGACCTTCTGCCTGGAAACTTTAGGTCCAAACCTAAAGCTTGTCATTCAACCTGACTGACTGGTCTAACTTTTAAAATGACTGCAATTATTTGACATTCTAACTTTTCTTTTCTTTTTTTTTTTGCTTTATTTCAGCTCCTGCAGAGTTGTCTTTAAATCAGCTGAAATTTGGGTGATTGCTTTTCTGAAAAGAAAACGGGTACAGCAGCGCCTGAAGATGTCTTCAGCTAAAACTTAAAAATTGTGTGATTTAACGCCTGTCAATAGTGGAAACCGTAAAAAGACAGGCACAAATGAAAATTATTTTCCAATCCCTTTCACTGCAGATTTAAGAGATATTTGAGGAATCTTCAGTTTGGAACAGATGGACATTTGTCCACCATTTTGATGGACATGATTGGTTATTTAAATGTGACCCTGAGTAAAAATGTTCTGATCTCCATGGGCCTCAGGGTGATCTCCCACACAGATGGATCCTCAAACGTCTTCAGCAGAGGTTTCTCTTCTGCCAAGAAAAAATTTTTAATTATTAGAGCGTGCAACTAAAATATGCAAGAGATGTAATTCAGCGTACTTTACACCTTATTAGCATCAAACAAGCAGCCTGTAGTAAACCGGTCCCTCCCCAAGCGGAGAACGCCACATAAATAAAACGAGTCTTTATTGAACCACCCTGCTGTGAAACACCAAGACAAATTTATGGCTCATTATATTCCAGTTTAATTAGAGCCTGGGGGCGTTGTTCTGATTGTAATGAGGCAGCGATTACCGCCGCTGCAGAGCGATAGGCACTTCCTGTTCATCCTCTGTTCAGTTTGCTCTGAGCTGCACAATACCAAGTCGGCAGCGGCCAGGCAGACGATGTGAACCCCCCAAACATTTGGGTGAGTAGGAGCCGTCAGCTGATCTCTGGTAAATGTTTGAGTAGAAACTAAGACTTACAAACACATTATTATCCCAAAAGGATGGATATTACTTCTACATATAATCAGCAACTAAAAGTATAAAACTAAAATATGAACATATGGACTGCAGCTTAATCAAATTTTTATTGATATAATAATTATCTGAATTTTTTGTTGTTTTATAAGATATTCACGTGCCGGTCATTTATTAAAAACTTAAAATAATTACACAAATGATTACATTTAATTATGTTCCTCAATTAGGTGCATTGATTTTATCTTTTTAAATAATGATTTAATAGATCGTGTTATTGTGTTGAAGCAAACCAAGTTAAACTGTCAACTTCAGCCCATCAAACTAAGTGGGCGGGACTAGAGCAGCTTACAAAGACGTCTGATTGGCTGCTTCAAACGGCACATCAAATTTACCACTGAGGTCAACGTCTCTGCTAGAAAGTGCAGAAATAACTTCAAGAACAATAAAGTTGTTGTAATTTATTTAATACAATCTGAGTGAGTAACTCTGGCTCTAATGTGTTGCCGTCTGAAGTCTGTGGCAGCTTCCTAACACTCAACCACTTAGAGACATTTCAGATAAAACTACAGTCTGGAGCCACTCAAAGAGTCTGTATTAAATGAATATATTCAAGTTGCTTCCACACTTCCAGTGAAATATTAACCTCAGAGTCGTAACAAATGCTTCAGCAAAGGAACATGAAATAATTATATTGAGTTTATCACACAAAAATTTATACGCTTAAGTGAGGAATGTATGATTATTCTATATTTATGAAATAATTTTGTATTTCTAGTTTTAATAAAGGAATGACAGATTTAAATAGTTATTTCATAAATTAGTATTCATTTACTACAATTTGGCATTCTTCACCTTCCATAATGTAAACTTGAGATGTCATGTACTACCCCCCAGCTAATTTGACACCTGTTAGAATGTCATGTACCTTTTTCAGGAGACCAATCAAAACGCTTCATCTCATCTTTCCACTGATTGGCTGAAAGGTTCAGCTCAGAAACACCCAGAACATCCAGAGTGGAAAACAGCTTCTGCACACACAAAAAATAAATAAATAAAAGGACAGAAGATCGTTTAAAAGGCATGTTTAAGTACATTTAATTCACTATTTTTTAAACTTAAAAGATGTTTGAAAGAGAATTGGTGAAATATTTCTCTAAGGAGTGTCATGAGTTCATAATGTCCGACCTGAAGGTTGACAGTGACGGGTTGGGAGCTGGCTTTGCTCTCCCAGCTCTGGAACTGATGCTCCAGCCTGAGCAGGACAGACTCCTGGTCCCACTGACTCAGTGTCAGGAGGTGGACAGCAGGGGGCAGTGATGCTTGAAGACCTGAAAACTAAAAAAAAAAAAATCCAATTTACCTCAATTCTGCTCTAAAACCCCATTTCGTAGTTGTTATTAATCTGTCAGAGGTTTGGTGTGTTAAACTGTACCTCCAGTCGTGTGTTCGGGTTCAGGCCTCCATCGGTGAACGACAGCAGCGGTTGTGATACCACTTGCTGCGCCAGGGGGCGGTGTGTGTCTGCGGCGGTGGCAGGCGGCTCCAGGGAGAGGAGGAGGCGACCGCGGACCACCAGGCCGTCGGGGAAGAGCTCCGACCACTCATTGAGGGCTTCACCGACGCCGCGGTAGTCGTCATGCAGCAGCCGGCGGTGGAGCTGCAGAGGAAGGTTTGTGGTCTCATTAAACATGTAGCATTACTGTTAGCCAAACAAAGCAGGGATGATAAGGAACCTGATTCCAAATAATGGAAGTTATGACTGTAAAAACATAAAAACACAAAACTCACAGTCACTGCTAATTTCTTTTTTTAGCAAGTTTTATGCAATTAATTGAAATGACAACGCAACATACTCATGCTAGACTGTGCAAATGCTCAGTCTGCGCCGTTGAAGATTTCCTCACATCAGCATAGTGAATGCTTAAGATGGCTTCCACAACAAGGCAGTCAGACTAATTTTCTGATTTAGCTAAGCTAATAACTACATGACTAATTGAGGCATTTTAGACCCTCAACCGCCGTTATTAGTTGAAGAAAAAGAAAAAAAACTGACAATTACCATAGAAAATAATGTAATTTAATACAATATGTTGTAGTTAGCCCCCTGTACATTTTACATTTATTTCCTGTTTTAATGTTTGGACCCATGAAAGGAGTGGAACAGCATTTTTTGAAACCTCAGTATTGGTGCTTACTGCTTATTTTAAGCAGATATAAAGTGTAAATATGCCGTACCATGATCTCCAGAGAGCCGTTGGATATGCTCGCTCCTCCCTGTGAGCGATCTGTCACCACTGTGAGTTGGTCAGTGTCATCCTGAATACAAACATAAAGTAAAATGTCTGTAGAATTGCAGGAAATAAAAAAAAAAACATTAAGTGATGAGCAAAAGAAAAAAGTAATTAAGACCTTTATAAAGGCGCGAGAGTTGATGGGGTAATAATTTCCAGCAATGGGTTCTGTTTTCTTGAGCTGCCATGTGGGACGGAAGTCTTTCCTGTTGGAAACCAATCCAAAATACTCATCTAATGTTTTCTATCATTTGTTTTTTTATACATTATGATATCTAAAAAACATTTTCTTACTTTCTCTGAAGAACTTCTCTGCCGTTTGAGTCGGTGTAGAAAAGCTCTGCGGTTTTAATGCTGGTGTCCAGACGAGTGATCACCTCCTTCCCCTGCTCGTCACTGCACCGTGAACAGATTTAAACATAAAATCAAACATTCACAGACCACATTAGAAACAACGTGTCTAAAACATTCACATACTACAGCTACTGATTATTTTCCTAACTCATAAATATTTGGCTCTCACCTGACCGGCACCGGTCCGACCGTCCACTCCAGCTCCACAGCTTTGCTGTCGGCGTAGAGTCGGACCACCTGAGACACCCAGGGAGTGAACCACTGCCGCACCTCCTGCACCACCGAGTTCTGTTCACACAACGTTACAGAATTATTAGAAAACATTTTTTTTTTTTAGAATCTATTTTATAATTCAACAAAGTGTCCTAAAATCTAGGGTGCAGGCATTTGTTGTATCGTTTATCATTTATCGTGATAAATTTAGCACTGCTATCTGATTCTGATTTAATGTCGTCATGAAAAACTCCAATTAACGGTGTTTAAAAATCCCTAAAACTCTCTGTATTGTCAGGATTTTTAGCTTTACCATTTTTCTACACTATTTGTTCAGCAACAATAATCATTTCTTCAGATAAATACATTTGAAAAAATGACTAAATGTAGTTATTCTGTGCAGTTTTTCCACTTCTTTATGCTGTGTTTCTGCAGGTTTCACCAACTCAAATTTAAAGGCTTTTAAAGACATTTTAAAGAATATTATGAATGAAATATAAAACCTGTAGAAATGTACAAAATAAAGTCATAAACGCATGGAAAACTATCAGGGGAGAAATGGTAGATTCTGTTATTCAACTCAGAAAACTGGAATAAAAGACATTATATGAAAATTTTATGAAAATATTTTTGGTCATTTGTAATTTCTTTTGTGTAAAAAAAAAAAAAAGATTAAAATCAGATCTGGTATGAAAAACAGTTTGTATTTTTAAGCCTAAGTCAGCTTACTAGCTAACTGGTGGGTAAGGTCATGTTAGCAGCTTCTGTCTGCGCACAACTGAAGCTTTTACCTAATAGAAAAGTCCAATGACCAAAAGAAAATACATAGAATATACAACAATGACAAGATTTAAAACCTGTGATTACCACATTTAAGACCAGTTTACATTTTGTTTGTGAATTTAAGACATTTTAAGGCCTTAATTTTAGACACATGGATGGGCAGACACCTTGAAATCAATCGTGTCGAGGTTAGAAGCCTGTGAGTTTAAATACATAAACATGAGGTTAAAAGTAAACGTAGCTCTACCTGAAAGATCTCCACTCTGGCCTTACTGCTGACCATGACAGGTGTGGAGGAGTTGGGTCTGAAGATGTAGGCCCCAGAGGTCTGCAGACTCTCAACGTTGTTGCCATTGCTGCCATTGTACCTAAAACACCCAAACACACACTTTTTTTTTAAATCATTTATCATTTGAAAACAGGAGGCAAAAACCTGAATTTAAACACATTTTGTTTTTGTTTTGGAAGAAAGACCAACCAGTAGAAGTTTTGTGAAAGCTTTATGGTCTGTTTGGTTTCCAGGTTGCTGAGACCAGACAAAAGGCCAGTGTCGGGGTCAAAGGTGACTTGAAGGAACTGAAGCACATCGTATAAGAAACAGTAACTAGTCAGTTTTGATTTCATCATGCTCATTTCTAAGCGTGATGGACTCAGATTCATCTTTCTGAATATGCACCTTGTTTTGGATGCTGGTGGGCGCCTGGTGCTGAGGTGAGGACGATGGGGGCCCGTCCTGCAGCAGGGACACAGAGTAGCTGCTGTAACCCAGAGGAGGAGCTCGGACCTGGAACACCAGCTCGTTCCTGGCGAAGCCGCGGCTCCTCCTCACTTCCTGTGTGGCTCTGGAAACAGGAAGCACCTTCAAAAAGGAAATAAAAACACACAAAGAAGAAGTCATAGGGTGGCAGACTTTGAGGTTTTCTTCTAACGAAGGGTTTGGAAGCAACAGACTGACAAACCTGACAGTCCACGGGTTTTCCTTGAGCGTCAGTGACGGCATAGGCTGTCCCGTTGACCGGCAGCCTGACGGGCCAGGTGACGGACCGACCCAGAGGGTTGTACACACTGAGTGAGAACTGGACAAGAGCGGCAAAACACAAACACACTGAGCTTCTAATAACACAATCAATGCAGCTTCACACAGTTAAAATCTTATATTACAAGATGATAGTTCAGATTATATGAACCGGGGTTTTTAAGAACAATTATTACTGTTAAGAAACGGCTATTACTAGATCCAGGTTTACAATGAATCATATGAGTGTGTGTGTGTTCACCTTGCTGCTGGACTCCGTTAGAGGACACACACTGACGTTGAGGTAATCACAGTAGATTCTCTCAGCAGAGGAGCCAGTGAGGGAAGCCAAACTGTTGCTGACCAAAACCTGGACAAGGTCAGTTAGTGAAAAAAAAACAAAACATAAAGAATGCATGTTTTATTCAGCATAAAATGATGAGAGTGATGAGAGAGACCAAAGCAGGTGAAACATGATCATCATCTCTCATGTACCTGGCAGTGCTGCCAGCCTTTGGCTAGCCTCTTGGCGTAGTCGTTAGCAACATGTTGCTTCTCTGTTCCTGACACTGCGTCATGGTGCTGAGCCACAGCCATCGCTTTCCCTGCAAACAAGTACACAGATTTCATCCAAATTTATGCTGAAATACAAAAAAATAAGTATGTATACAGCCAATATTTTATGTATTTTAGCATCTCTAGATGCACCAACACCAGTAGAAGGTGCAGATAGATGGTTGTGAATAGTTTTATGTCAAAGTTTGACAAAACACTATATTCTCTAAAGCACACCAATCATCCTGTTTACTAACGATGGTAAAAAAAAAAAAAAACAACCACAACTCTAAAACTACATGTAGACCATCAGGTGCTAAAAGTGATGGAAGAACTTGTCATAAGCCGCTCACAATAATCAATAAATCAATTAATCACATGATAAATTAAAACAAGTTCAATAATTTCCATTTGCATGATTTTCTCTCTTTCTACCAAATTCTTAATGACAGAAGTCTTCATTCAGTCTGGTGTTTTGGTCTCAACCAGCTCCTTCTGTTGAAGGACAATTTTGTTTACAAACCTTCATCCTTCATTTTATTCGTCATTTCTGTTGTTTTGCTTATTTATTTTGGATATTTAAAATATTTTTCTGTTTCAGTGTTCAATGATTAGAAATTAAAAGTTTATTGATCTTTGAGATCAATAAACCATTATTATGCCATTACCTTTATATTATTTGAAAATGGACTCAAAACAAGGATGTTATTGTTTATCACAATAACTTTTGCGACAATTTATCGTCCAATAAAATTTGTTATTGTGACAGACCGAATCTAAGAGAAATGCATTTCCTGCTGTTAGGACATCAGACAGAGGCAGTAGCCCAGAGCGCCGATTCTTTGGGGGCTACCACAAATCTTTTATTATTATTACTTACTTATTAATGAATATATGTTTTGCAAACACTGTACTTTATCCAAGTCTCCAGAAGTAGCCCTATGAGTTTTACATAAATATTTTTGAATTTTTCATAAATAGATATATTATATAAATAGATAGATACCATCTAATACCACGCACACCTACTCATGTATAGGTCTAGCTATTAATCGTACTGTAATCTGCATTACTAGAAGAATGTTTCTTTAGTGGAAAGGGCACCAAAGCCAGCTCCAGCCCAGGGGCCCACATGCTTATAAATCCAGCCCTGTCAGGGATGTTTTTATTGTTCTTCAGCAAATAGAATACAAGCAGCTTTTAGAAATTTGCTCAACTTTCCACCACTTGTCATTGTTTTGACAGTACAGTGTAGTTCTGGAAAGCCTGTAGAGCCAACAATACAGAAACTGGAAACTTTCTGTAAACAGGGGATATTCAATAAAAACGTTTGAACGCAAGAACCTTCCACCAATAAACTGGACAAAAAAAAAAAAAAAACTCACTCAAAGTCTCACTGTCTCCCTGTCCAAACAGCCCCTTCCTGGAAACTGGACCTCCCAGAACCTCCAGCTGGTTACAAGACTGTCAAATAAGAAAAGAATAGGGAAATAAAGAAAAATACATCCAACTATAAAATCTGAAAAAGTGATTAAAAAAACAAACAAACAAAAAAAAAACACAAAAAACAGAGAAGTAAGTGAGCCGTAGTTGCCTGCAGGTTGCTGTTGCTGATCCTCTCGTAGCGTTTCAGCGCTGGCCGGCTTGTGAAGTATCCCGTCCAGAAGCTATGAGCGCTGTCCGCGTAGGGAAAGAAATCGTCCGTCTTCAGAGGCCTTGATGAAGAAGAGAAATGCGGATGATATAATCATTCATATGAACTGAATGTCAGGCTTCAAGTCTGAGCTCCAGTAGTGGGCTGCACCAGGTGAGGTTAGCTTGGTGAAGCTCCTGCAGGTAGCAGGACGGAGTGGAATAGAGGACGTTGACGTTGCTGCCGTTGCCCTGCTGGTCGTTGACGTAGCGGATCAGCTTGTCCAGGTTCTTGTACCACAGGTTGGCGTTCTCGTACTGGAAGTCTGAGCCCATGGTCATAATGATGTGGTTGGTCTTGTACACCAACGCCTTAGAGGGGAAAACAAAACAGAAAAAAAGCATGATTCGTGCAAACAGGAACAAAGGTAGAGAAAATACAGCAATTCTGTTGGCAATATTAAAGAGTTATAAATATGAAAGAAACAAATTTTTAGCTTTTTGGTTTTTTAAAATCAACAGTTAACGGTTTTGCTCTTTTTGGACAACAGTTGCTGGAAAGTTGTCCTTTAACGTTTTTCACCGTAATTATGAGCCTAGTAACTTTGGCAAATAATATCATAGAAATGCGAAACGTTTGTTTGGTACTGAACGCTTCCATGCACACAAGAATGGGTTTGTCATTAGGCTAGAAAAAAACCTGCTTGTTTGTATATAAAGAAAATCAGGTTATTCTCTTTTTGGAAAGGGTTGATGTTTTCAGAAGCTAGGGTAGGAAAATAAAAGTATAAAGACTTTAATTATAACATTTCAACATTAAAAAAAAAAAAAAAAACATTTTTTGTATGTTTTCCCCAAAACTTCATGAGCACTTTTTTATGGTTCTGATGCTAAAAATTGTTTCTAAAAAAACAAACAAAAAAACAAACAAAACTGCGATTTCTCTGGTTTTATTTATTTGTTTCTATCTTTCTGCAGGTGCAGAAGCAGACGTCTACTGACTCGTGTTTCTTTCTCTCTCTCCCTCTACTCCCATCTCTTTCTTTCTTTTCCCACACCTCTCAGAAAGAGAAAGAATATGCCAGAGGTTTACTTATTAATGTCTTCAAAACAAGAAGCCGTTATCTCAAACCTGATTTTACATGTATTGCATTTATAAAACTAGCTTAGTGTCTGCTTAACAGATAAACCAAAATTAATAAAATTTTTTATCCAGCTGTAAAATTCAACCATTGAGGAGAAACCCGTCTCAACAGACCTGAGTCTTGGCAGCGTGAAGGAAGCGCTGGACAACATCATCAACGTTATAATCTTCAAGGTCGGTGTCGTCTCTGATTGGGTCGTCAGTGCACAGCTGGTCCCAGCAGAACCCCTCTGGAGGGTTGTACCCGTTGGGAAGGATTCCTGAACGTAGAAGAAGAAGAAAAAAAAAAAAAACATTCTGCTGCAGGAGCGTTCTCAGGTTATGAAGCATGACGGAGGAGTTTTGTCTTTGTTTTTTACCGGTGAAGAGGTCGGCCATGGGTGGTGTGAGGCTGTCTGAGGCTCTCCACAGGAGCTCCTGCTCCTTCGCATTCATCCTGCGAGCCCGGTCCTGGTAGTCCAGGCGACCGAAGAAGAAGCCGTCGTATCCCATCTGGAGGACAAATGCATCAGTGCTTCGATTGAATCTTGGAGTAAAAGCCGTCTTTACCTGCACCATGTTTGGATCTTAAAGTGCGTGACACCATCTCCACCTGAGCAGTGAGGCGTTTCTCCAAAAAGAATAAAAATAAACAAACTAAAACCAAACCCTGGCTCACCGGTGAATGTAAAAAATGTAAAGAAAAAAAAACACCGAGGAGTGTGCAACATAAAAGATGGAGAGTAAGCTCCAGCATGGAGCGTGATTAATATTAAAGGCATTTATTCACCAAATATGGATTAAAGCTTCATTCTGTAACTTTTATGTGTTCTGCTAAGCTAAAGCTACCTGTGCAAAAAGAGAGGCGTGTTCGCGGGCGTGGCCAAACGGGTCAATGTGCCAGGCAACCCGGGGTCGACCACAGATCCCAAAGGTCTCGTTCAGAAACCTCAGGCCGATGGTCATCTGGTCGATGACGGCGCTGTAGTGCGTCGTGGCCTCGTCGCTCATACACCAGCCACCATTTACAAACTCCAGCCGACCTGGAGGAGCAAGAGTTGGGTCAGGATGAGTTTACACACTCCCGCCGTTGATGCGAGCACACAGCACCGGGCGGTGTACCTTGGTTTACCAGCTGCTTGACCGTCTGCTGCATGCTGGAGCTCTGCTGCTTCCACCAGCGGTAGAAGAAGCCCGTCTCCACGTAGATGAACCGCCTGTCTGGGTTCTTCAGCAGCTGATCCACCACAGAGTCCAGGATGTACTGAACGCCGGCATGTTGGATGTCGTTACGATCTTCACATAAACGAGAAAATAGCAAAAGTCAGATTGTTCAGGACCCTGAAGGTCGTGACCCAGAGGAGAACTTCAGCACCGAGAGCAGACATATTGATTTATGCTGATAAATGACAGCTTTGCAAGTTTAGTTGATGATTACTTGTTATTGATCACAGAAATCTTTTGGAGCTGTTCTGACAAAACTGTGATTCAAGAGTTTTACTTAAATGTTTAGAGACAACTTATTCACTAAAGATTTAATATAATTTCTAATAAAAATCAAAGGATCCAAGCAATACACTAAGGAAAGACGAAGAGATCTGAACCGGACACAAAAGTGATGGGACATGTGATCTGGTTATACGCCTGTCATAAAACTATAAAAAAAATGTTCTTTTTTTTTGCCTAGTAAAAATGTGTTGACAAAAAACACAGGACAGAATAGTCCAGACACATCAAAACAGATGCATTATGTGTGAAAATATAAGTGAGATTCATATTAAGATATACAACCGACTTCAGGTTTTACTTGTAATTTACAAATTTAGCCAAATTTGGCCATTACAATTTGTGTAATGGCCAAATTGGTCATTACACACACAAAAAAAGTCAATGTGTATTTTATCAGGTGCAATCTAATAAACGTTACAAAAAAATAAATAAATAAATTAAAAATCTGTTGCACTTCCATGTCCAAGTTTAAAAATGTAAAACGATGTTTTTTCAGCAGTACACAGTATAGTTACGGAGGACCAAAACTGACACAATAAGAAATAAAAGCATAAATATACATTTAGTGTTTTCTTGTCCTTACACATGAGTTTCCATCAAGAAATGTACACATTTTCTTTTTCATTTCCCCTAAATATGTGTTTTTGCCAAAAAAAAGTACATATTTTGTTTTGTCTTTTCCTTATACAAGCCCTCCTTTTGTCATTGCCTCCTCTCCTTTTTCTGCTTCTCCTTTTTGGGCTTCTCCCTTTTCTGCTTGCCCTTTTATTGCTTCTCCCTTTTCTGCTTATCTGTGTGCATCTTTATGTTAATGAGGAGAGCTGCCTTCTATATCCAGCTCCTCTACTATTGCCCTATAGAGCTTTGTAACCAACGTCACTGCATCAGACATTGTGGGACATTTATGTCTCGCGCAGTCGCTCAGTGCCATCTATACAGCCCTCAGACCAAAAAAAGCTTTATCCCAGTGGTTTTATGGCATTACCGACCGCAGTGAAGTAAGTTTCGAGTTGGATACTGGATATTCCAATATCCACCGAGCAAGCGGCGTTAAGCTCAAGGTTGATCCAATTTATGAACGCTAATTTTGGCTAGTCGTTCTCTAGCTCCTCAGCGATTGGAGGTTCACTTAGGGACTGTCAACAATTTTCCGAACCAAACACTCCTGTCAAACAAATGTTAATAAATGCCTTTCCTTGTGACCAACTGATACAACAAGGTGGTAATCCATGCTTTTACATGAGACGCACTTCCCTCTATTAAAATGTCAAGTCATATTCAATATTTTAAATAATATAATGTTTTCTTCAATAGTTTCCATGTTGTGTGCCACATTGACTAGAAATCATTATGTAATAGTTGTACTAAACTGTATACATGAGGCACATGCATTTTTATTCCATTTTAACTACATTTTTATTTTTGTTACCTATTTTTTTAGTTTAAATTTAGTATTTCTCTTCAATAGCTTCTAGGTAATGTGACCTATCAAGTCAAAATCCGTGTGAAACTGTTCTACCAGTCTGTACAGATGAGTATAACCATGAATACAACAATTACACACTGGTTTCGTGAGACGTAAACGCCCCACAACGTAGAGGAGCTGGACATAGAAGGGAACTCTCATCATTAACATAGAGATGCACATGGAAAAGCAGGAAAAAGTCAAGCAGATAAAGGAGAGGAGGCAATGACAAAAAGAGGACTTGTATAAGGAAAAGACAAAACAAAATATTTACTTTTCTTGACAAAAATGCATGTTTAGGGGAAATGAAAAAGAAAATATATACATTTCTTGATGGAAACTCATGGGTAAGGACAAGGGAAAACTAAGTATACATTTATGCTTTTATTTCTTATTTCAGTTTTTTTCCTCCATAATAGTTAAATTAGTAAGAGCTAATTTAAAAAGAAGGGAAAAATTAAGAGCACAAAACTACTTTCACATCTTTAATTCCTGTGGCCTAATGAAATGGTCATTGTTTTTATGTCTTTAAACATTTAGGGTCAATAAATAAAAGAGTATATTTGAAATTTAAGGTCGTTTGGGTTTTGGTTCGGTACTGACCTCCATAGAAGTACTGGTCCACGGTCTTTAGCCAGCCCACGTCGTCGTGTGTGTGAGGAACCAGGTGGACATTCAGCATGGTGGGCTTGGTGGCATGACATGACTGGACACACAGACACACTTCATCAACCCAAATGGCGTTCCACAACCGGAAGTATCAGCGCACCGGTTGTGCTGCCAAAGGCGAATAAACCCTATTTTAAAATTACGATAAAAACTATCATCTGTTTTTCTGAGACAGCTCAGAAAATAAGGATGAGTGAAAGTGAAAGAAAAAGCTTCAAACCCTTTAGCTCGCAGGTTAACAAAAAGACAAACAAACCCTCAGACTGTAAAAGCGTACTAAAGCCGTAATAACGAACCTGGTATCCGCAGGTGGTGGCGTCTCTTTTCTCCTGGCCGACAGGAAAACTTAAAACCCCGTTGAATAGCAACAGCAAACCAGCCACAAAGAAGTGGCAGCTGGCCGCCATGTTGAAAACTACCACAACATCATATGACATATGTTTATATGAGCTTTGGTCACGTGGCTGAATTCCACATGGGAAGTGCTGTGGGCAGATTTAACCCTCAGTGCAGACTGTCAGGCAGAACATACACTTCTACGTCAGAAAAAAAAACCTGTCTTTGAGTTGCTTTTTAAAAATGATTTATTAAAGTAAATTTTAAACTAGGCTGTGAGGTGAAAAACAACACATGCTGTCATTTTATTTCGTCTACACTCCTTTACAAAAATGTAACTATTGGTGGTTTTGGATCTAGGTTCTGCAACAAACACCATTTGATTACATTTTGTGGCGATTTATTGGAAGCCATTCGTGCCATGATCCAATCAGAGTACGCCTTCGATTAAAAAAAAAACCTCAAACAGTACCAGCAAATCAAACTACTGCAGCAAGTGGCAGAAATTACAAAACAAAACAGCAGGATTATAAAGCATAGTATACCTCATACAAATGTGCTTACTTTATGCATTTCAAGTAATACTGTTATATTTCTTGAACTATGTGATGGTTCAAAAACTATTAAAGTCAGAATTATTTTTTTGTTTTTTTCTGCAGTGGTACCAATCTTCTTTAGCACAGTTTAATTGAAAACAAGTCAACTGCAATATTTTGGATAACTTTGTTACTGCAGCTGTTCGAGTAAGCACTATAAAATGTATAACTAACCACTATGTCACATGCTTTGTTGCTCTTACTCTTCCTTAGTGCTTGAGTAAGCATTTTGGCAGGCGTCTGATAAGGGTTCTTGGATAACAAAACCAGACAGTTTCTCATTAAGGTCTAGTGGTTTTATTTGTCACCTGATGTTGTAACAGTCATCTTTCTTTAAATGTAGTCAAAACAAAGGAAATGACTTTGCACTGGTTGAGGTTTTCATGATGAGCAGAAATAGGCCAAAGCCTGTCTTAAGATATGTGTTAAAGGGATACCTAACATTTGTCCAAATAGACAGAATAGGATGTGCTCATTTAAGAAGATTTATATGAAGGTTAAGGCTTTATTCTGCTACGGTGGTACATGCTGCAGCACCAGTAGCTACAATACAGAATTTGGACTGAACTGATAAAGAACAATGTCTCTGTCCCCATCAGAGACAGAGACATTGTTCTTTATCCCTAAAGCTGATAGTTGAAAGAAGAATGTTGTGTAAGTTGCTCAACTCAATAGACACGCTGCACAATGAACTGATGAACCACCAGTGTGTTTATCTTTAGACCGTTTCAGCTTTGTAGTAAGACATAAGAAAGTTCAGGCCAGTTACTTAAGAAATACTGAAATAATCAAAATTATGTTTTCTACACATCATAATAGCATATCCACATTTTCATTTCCTTTTTCTGATTCCTTTCAGGATCAATATGTCTCATTTCTTTTCTTTCTTCATTCCTTCTTTCTCATGGGCCATCGAGACACTTAATTTATTTTCCATATTACAAGTATTTATTTGTAATACATATATAAAACGCTTGTATAGACATTTTGGGAAGTTAATTTTAACATGTCTGCCGTTACCTTCTAGCTTGATGAATGATTTGGGTTAGTAAGAATATTTGAAACAAATGTGAAAAAAGCAAACCTTCCTGGCAACCAAGGTCAGTTGCATTCTGGGTAATTATTTTGGGTTTTCTCAGTTCAAATCCCAAATAAAGCCACTTTGCTTCATGAAAACAAATTCATATTTTCTTAGAGGTAGCATATTGTTGATAAGCATAGATAGACCTCTTGTCTTTATAAACAGCATGTTTTAATGGTCAACATAAAAGAATATCTGACACAGCGTTAATGTTTTCCACATCAACCTGTTTATTTTATTTAAAGTTCGACTGTACACGGCAGAAAGAAAAACAGGTTATTTACATTCTTTAGAAGAAATGCTGTTAGTCATTGTGTTTCTCTTCCTCTTTGGTAAACTTGGGTTGTTCCCGCTGCTTTTCATCTCTTCTGCTGTCGCATACTGTAAAAAGAATGCCACGTCATGATGTCGCTGCTTTCTTTACGATTTAAAATCTAAATGGGATTATAACCCTTTTCTTTGTCTTTTAATTGTTGAATTCTCTCCTCAAATTTTTCATTTGTGTTCTCGGAGTCGCTCTCAACTGTCTCCGCTAACATCTACAACTGGATAACAGCAGTTACGAATCTTTGGCTGCATTTTGCGTTAAAACAATAATGATGTTTCCGATTTTAATGATATATTTAAATATAAAGTCATATGTTAAATATATGTATAAAATATATATTTTTAAATATATTTTAGATATATATTTAAAATATATTTTGAATAGATTTAAAATGTTTTAAATATATTTAAAATGCATTTTAAATATATGTATATATTCTTCTGAGCAGGTTTCTGATTTTAAATATTAAAATCAGAAACAGGCATTCAATTCAATTAAAATAATTTATTTTGGCCATATTTCCTTCGTGTTTTCCTGCGGCAGATCATCACTGTTGCATAATGACCTTTAGATTGTGCTAGCATTAGCATTAGCATTAGCTCCTAGGTGTGGGCAGATGAGCAGGGTGGAGTCCAGATCCAAGCGGAAAGCCGGGTACAGCGGTTGGGAGAACTGGCACTGAAAGGTGTGGAGGAGTACCACCGTGTCCGACATGCTGTAGAAAGACAAGGACCCTTTCTGTCTTTCCAGCAGAACCCCGATCCGCCGGCAGGGCGGGGCGGCCACCGTGGTCTTGCGGTTGTCGTGCCACGCCGAGTAGCCTGTATGCGTGCACCGCAGCCGCCAGGAGTTCTCGTTACGGCCGAGCAGGCAGGGCTTTCCGCCGCCTTTGCGTCCGATTGACAGCGACGTGACCCCAATGTCGACCCATCCTCCTCCCCGCCACTCCACCTCCCAGTAGCTGGCGGCGCCAAACAGGCCCTCCCTGCACAGGACCTGAGCTACTGAATCAAAGCGATGCGGGTGGGGCGGATAGGGCTGGGTGTCCTCGCCACAGTGGGCGCCCTGAGGCTCCTCCAGGAGAAACAAAGTCGGGTAGGCTGTGTTGGCATCCAAAGAGAGACGACACGAAACTGAGGACAGCAGAGAGGAAAGCGAGATAACGGTTAAATACAGACATTTTGAGGGGCAGGTGTTCAGGTGGAGAAAGATGAGCTAATGCGGCAGATGGAAACTTAGCACTGAGAGATTTATTACAGGCAGTCATATCAGGCTCAGTTATGGAAATGTGGTTTAATATAGGCTTTGAAATCCAGAAATTGTTCCATTGGGCCACATACTAGCCACTGTTCAAAAAAGAAAAAAAAAAAAACATTTCGGAAAGGAAAATGAGCAGACTGTTATCATGTCTTTGGCGCCGCTAGCTAAAAACAAAACTAACTGAAGTTTATAAAACAGTCGAGTAAATTAGGTTTTGGAATTTATCCTGAAAAATAAATGTAGGAGAAGTTAAGTGCACAAAATGTTTTCAACGTTAGCAAAAAGTGCTATAGCACTAAGATAAACATTAGCTCTGAGATTAGCAAATTAGCAGATTAGAGGAACGCAAATGTCTTCAAATAAAAAAAAAGGCATTCGAGTCTTAATTTAAACATTTACATTTGGAAACGACAGAAGCCGGACGGGATTTATTGACTGGAACTATTTAGCACAAATTTTGTTATTTGATAAATTTGAGCTTTAACAGTAAAAAAACCCTCATGTATGTCTGCATTTCCTTTGTCAAATATGAAGTGAATAAAATACATTTTGTAAGCAGGATTTTATGGGACAGATCCAACATAATTGCACATAATTGTGAAGCAGAAGAAAAATATAGAAATATTTGTTGCTTTTTGTCCCAATTGAAAGCTAAAGTAGCCATTTTTCAAGGAGAAATTTCAGTCTCTACATGTGCAAAGCTTGTATAGCGATACGACCAAAAATCTGTAAAATGAACCAACTAATGCACTGTATTTGGCAGACTAAATTTCAAAAAAGCACGCCACACTTTTCAGTGTTTTACTTAGAAAATAACAATAGTTTGTATTGGCTCTTCACTGAGCTCTCAGCGCCCCCCCACCCACCCGCTTACTCCGTTGTTCCTGAGCTGTAAAGGACGGTGCCAGGCTAAGATGTGAAAAGTCGTCCAGTATTTCGGAGGACGTTTTGACACTGACAGGACAAAAGGCTCGCTCTGCCTTCATCCTCTACCACGTGAATTATTAAAGCCTGACAAGGTGCCGCTACGCTGACATCTTGTCAGCTGGAACAGGTAGCAGCACCGGTCTTAATGATGAACCAGAATGTCATAAATACATCATGATTGTCATTCATTATTGAAGGCAGGCTAGACGAGGGCTCTCTGATTTCCCACCAAGATTCTCATTATGTGGTAAATAAGATGGAAAGATGGAGAGGAGAGAGTCAGGAAACGGTTCTGATTAATTTCCTGATGAGGATTTCCATTTTCCTCTCAAACGGCAGACGAAAACAACTGACTATTGAACTGAATCCCAGTTTTCCTGTTTGAGTGTGAACATGAACCGAGTTTATTCACTTTATTCAAATAAAGTCCTTACATCTAAGTAAAGCTGCCCTCATCCTCTGATCAGGAGGCTGCAGGCACAATGTGGACAGAGGAAACGAAACTGGAACAGCTGTAAAAGTTGATATAAAAACAAACAAACAAAAACAGAGACGAATGTAATAAAAATGCTTGTAAAGGAATTTTTATCTCGGAAAGAATTACACATCTTTAATCTTCCACTTACCCCTGCTGTTTTGTTGCCCCACAGATTGGGATCGCTGAGGTTTGGAGTTCCCCACTGGGTTACTCTGGCCACCTTCCCAACATGACAAAGATGAAAGCATTTATTTTAAAAAATCAAAAATATCAACTAATTACACACAACGGTTGTGTTGGCTTCACCAACTCAAATTCAAGATTTTTTAAGACCGTTATGAATATAATATAATTTATGGCCTATATCACATGACATATGGCTGTACTTTCTACTTTTACTTAGCAATTTTATTATAAAGTATCTCTACTTGTACTTGAGTAAAATTTCTGGATTCTCTTTGCACTGAAAGAACAACAAACATGTTTTAACCAAAACTTCACCAGACTCAGACACACACCTGCAGTTTTTGTTAAAGTTTCATAAGTTTTATATTGAAAGAAACTGATTTGGAAAAATATTCTTTTAGCTGATTTTGTTATTTTTTTGTTACTTAAATTAATTATTGCTATTTTGGTCCGTAAAATACCAAAATGTCCACTTAGCTTTATATTTTGGTCCATCTGATGATGTAATATTTAAACAATAAGCCATTAATAATTTGATCAGTTTCTCAGTACTTGAGTAGACTTTTTACCAAATACTGTTTTTACTCTTACTTTAGTCATTTCTTGGACGGCTGTTTTTTACTTTTACTTGAATAAAACTATGTTGAAGTAGTGCTACTCTTACTTGAGTAAAATTTTTTGGCTTCCCTACCCACCTCTGATGTATTGAAATTTCCATTGATAAAAATGACATTTTTAGAGGACAGAGCACCAAAAATGGATGCAGCCCAGGGGCCCCGCATACTTGAAGATCCGGCTCTGCATGCTTGTTGTCTTTTAGCATTATTAATTAAGGGCTGCAGCGTTAAATGTCATGTAAAAACCTCAGACACGACTCTCCCACGGAGGGCAGGACACGGTGGAGTGTGCGGGTGCATCTGAGGATCGCGTTACTTAAGCTTACCGTTTACAAGCTCTCTGGCAGGGACGCAGTTCTCATTACCTGGAAGAAAAACAACATGTTGGACAGAGAGAATGAGCCAGCTGGGTCAGAGGTCAGGAAAAGGACGTAAATGCTATATCTGGCACTGCGGGTGATTCCTCTGTACCCGCGCGGCCGATCCTGTCGACCTCCTCCCTGCAGACGTCCTCGATGCAGCTGCGGAGGTGGCTCAGCGCTCTCCTGGCGTCGCTGAAGGCCTCTGGGGCCAGGCTGAAGGCCCCGGAGGGCCGATTGGCGGCGATGGGGACGCAGAGCAGCATGGCCGCCTGAGGTGGAAAAGCAAAGACAAGAGAGCGGAAAATTACGCCCTGTCCCATCCCTCGGTAAAACCTCACTGACTCATTTATTCCTCTCATCCGTTCCTCCTAATGTCTGAGCATCTCTGTTAGAGAAAAAAAATCTTTCAGGCGGAGTTCGTTTCCTGTACAGTCCCTAATGACATCCTCATCTTCAGAAAAAAATAAACTGCCTTTTCAATATTTGCTAAAAAACAGGGTTTATACAGTCTTCACTTAGTAAAATTCAAATACTTTCAAGGTGAGTTTTCAAAGGCAAATGAACTAAGGAACACTTTCAATTCACTATTATATGATATAATTTATTACTGTTAATAACATAAAATAAAATAATATGTTGCATTATGCATTCTACAGTAGGGACAACATATAGTAAAATATAACAAAATGTTATGATTTGAAATGTCTTTCTTACACCTTGTGCACCTGACAAAAAAAATCTCTAAAAAATTATTATTAAGTTTTCTGGCATTTAACAAATAGAAATAATTTTAGTGATTCTACCTGACATAAAACTAGAAAAGTTTGGTCTAATTTGACTGCAGAGAGTGAGAAAAAAATGTATTGACTATAAATAACACATTCCAAATTTAGGCTGTTAATCAAACATTAGATCGCACTTTACTGTAAAACTGTGTAGTTTGAATATCAAGCACTTTTGAAGAAATTATACAAAAATAAAATACTTCCCAAATCTACAGGAGATTCAAGCATTTTCAAGAATTTCAACTCCCGTAAAAAACTTTGTAAAAAAGTTTGGTGCATAGATGGATAGTAACAAGTTAAATAAAAAAATAAATTACAAGTTAAAAGTCTACAAATATATCAAGTATATTAAAATAAAAAATAATTAATGTTTTATTTCAATTTAAATAATTAAAAATATGTACTAGTAATACTTTTTAAGAAATAGATGTTTTTCAATGTCTCGAATCGTGTTTCTATTGATTTTAGGCTTTATTTTTATTGCTCAAATATTTTTTTCCCACTTCCAAAGCGTTTTCAGTTTCTCCCAGTGGCCCCCTTCATTTCCTAGTAAAAGGACATACATGATGCTGCCGTCACCCGTTTCCAGAAACCGTCTACTCGGAATCGGCTCCTATTGTTTTCTGGAATACATCCACAAACCGCAATCCAGATCAGATAGCAGCAGCTCAGACTTCTTCTGTCTCTCCAAAGAAAAAAACTAATTTCCTAAAACCGAGGATTGATTTTTTTTTTTTTCCAGTTTTGATACCAGTGATTCCTCCCTCTTTCGCTCCATCACCTGTGTCAGCCGGACGTTGTCTTCGGTTCGCAGCAGCTGGCCGATCTCCTCGTCTCTCCTCCTCAGCTCCTCCAGGTCCGTCTCAAGAAGTGCGATGTCTCGCTCCAGTCTGCTGGCCGCCGCTCGGGCCTTCGCCTCCAGCAACGCTCCCACCTAAAACACAGACACGGAAAATCCACCACGTAAAATACAGAGTGTTTCAAAAATGATATTCAGGAACTGTCTTGTATCTAGCTGTTTCAGATTATTGAAAGCATTTAAACAAATTAAAATTCCTGGTTTTAATTTATTTAAAGAAACTTTTTTCCTCAACTTTTATCTAAACTTAAAAGGACACATTTGCATTTAGAGCTCTGTCATTCCTTCCAATGCTGATATTGCAGCTTTGAGAATCGGCTGATAGCGATACTGACCCGATACGATAACAGCACGAGTCATTCACAGGGTTTCCATAGAAATCACCAACTCAAATTGAAGACTTTTTAAGACCATTATGAATTCAATTTAAGAACTGTGTTGCAACAAAAATGTACAAAAGACAATAAATTGGTGATAAATTTGCATTAGCATTGTGTTGGCAGCTAGTTAGCGGTAGCCTGAACCGCTTCCAGTCACAGAACGTAGGATGAAGATTTGTGTGCAGGCAACCCAAACTTTAACCTGACAGAAAGATCTTGTGGAAAAAAACACTACATCAAATATACCATGCTAGATATTTCTGCCACAACCAAATTTAAGACCTGTGATAAATGTGTTTAAGGTCAATATACTTGCATTTAAAAATATTAATCTAAGATGTCTTAAGATCTTAATATATGACATTTAAACGGTGTGCGGATACCCTGATACATTATTTTGTGGTGCACACTACTCAAACAGAATTAAATGTTGGAGCGGACTAAATGCCGGGGTAGAGATGGAGATTTTAGATGCTCGCCCATATAATCCAATATGTGTTTTTTGGCTGACATCAGACCGATTTCCGGTATCAATACCCCTGGACACCCTGAGTTCTAGTGTTGGGTAATTCTGCAGTGTCATAACAAACCCAGAACTTTGAAGTGCAACTTTTCACCTCAGTTTTAGTTTTCTCCAGGCGGTGAGCAATCTCAGCGAACAGAGCATCACTCTCCTCTAGAACGGCTGCGGACGAAACCTAAAAAAAAAAAAAAGAAGAAAAAAGACTCATGAGACTGTGTGTAGTGAAAGGATGAAATAAAGCCACATAATCCAGATTTTAAGAGATGACACAAATAAAAGCATAAAATATATTTTTTTCCAATGAATTAATAAAAAAAACTAAATTTGTTGTTTTGGGGAGGAATAAAAGTCATGCCTAGATTTTAAGATTGAGGGAAGGCGTTTCTCGAAAGACCGAGTTGCTCAGAATAAAGGACATAAATTTGTTTTGCACTGAAAAATGATACAGTAATTGAATTGAAACAGGATGTCTGAGTGAGTGAGATATGGGAGAGCAGGCTTTATGTGTCTGCTCAGCTGTGTAACCCTCTAATACTGCTTGTCATTCAGCTAGATAGCTAAGCAGATAATAAAACTAAAATAGGTTTCACTACAGTTAGTGAGAGAAAATATTCAAATGATGCCAAAATTATGTATCTTATAAAAATGTTATAGCATCCTAAAGCAGGAGATTCTGAGGCAGGTATTTAAAAATCCTGAATTTACAGTAAACTGGGCAAAAAGTTGGGACCCAAACAGAAACAAAATCCTAATTTTGACATTTAAAGTCAAAGTTTTTAGCAAATGATCTCCAATAAATATTGGTTGGTCAATCAAATTTTTTTGTTCAGCATATTTCATTAACACAGCAGTTCAACGAGCTTTACATGATGAACACAAATGAAAAAAACTCCAACAGAATGGTAAACACGTCAACAGCTGTGAAAACCAATAACAGACTTTACAATTTGACAAGTGGCATCGTTAAAAATGTTGGTTAAAACAATAAACTTCGTAACTCTATGTTGAGCCGAGCCTCATATTTTGTCTGTTCTGTTTTAAGCTGTTCAAAAAGGAAATAAAAATATAAATAAGACAAAACTCTATGGGTGCAACAGTCTTAAAAAAACCCCCCAAAAAACCTGACCTGCCGATTCTGATTTTGCTTGACATTGATTTTTTTTTTGTCTGAAAAGTTAATGAATTTAGCAACAAAGTTGTGAAGTAGGCAGCAGCAGGGTGACTGTTGTTAAGATAAGATCGGTTTCACAAGTAAGTTTCGACCAATCACTGATCTCTGAGGATTAAGGGGCACAGGGCCGATTTAAAGACCGACAGCTACAGCTAACTTGCTTATTCCACTGAAAACCAACGAAAGATGACGTCGCAAATGAAAAAACGTTTTCAAATCTCGTGTTCGGAGCTGAAGTAACAGATTGCTTCGCTGAAGCTCGGTCATCTCCCAGAAAACGGAGGTTTTTCCACAAACCGTTCCCCATTTGAGAGGAGACCGGAGGTGTTGGATGACAACAGGTCATTTCTTCCAGGTTCATTCCACTCATGCCAGCTGATTTCTCAGAACTACCACTTAGACAGATGATGCTCAAGCACAAACAAACACATTTTGAACTCTCGGGACTTCGGTTTGACATAAATAATTAGTAAGTTCTTGGAAACTCTTCGCCATTGACGGAATACGATGTTCAAAGAAACCTTGTATAAACAAAGAATAAGGGGACCGTGTGTGTGTGCACGTGTGTGAGTGATGGTTTTGTTACCTTCAGGGACTCCAAGCTCTGCTGGAGCTCTTCCAGGTCCCTCTCTCCGGTGCGTATCCTTCCCTGAACCGTTCTCTGGGATTCCTGGAGCTGGAGCTGAAAGATCACCAGACAAACCAAGAGGTGACTGATATCAGCAAGACAACAGTCAGTGACATCAGTATCGATATAAAAGTTCTTGACCACTGACTTAGAACTTCAAACGCATTTAGACACAATAATTCAGATTTTGCTAAGGCCATCATCTGAGCTAAACTGGACCATTTAGTGGATTCATCCAAAGAATCCAGTAAACAATCCATTTGCAACTTTTGTATTATTTGAAGCTTGGCCCTTAAGGAAATGTTGAGTGTACTAACTTACAGTCACATGGGAAAAACAAATATATGTTCAGAGATCAAATTTAACAAGATTCAGATTCCTACAATTAAAGAAAACAAAAAGAAAAGAACAGAAGAGGATACTTTTTCACATTTTCTGTAACAATGCAACTTCTGCCGAGGACTAAATTAGGACATCCCTACGTTTGTTCTCCCATAAAATATCTAAAATTACACCTATTATGACAGGTGCACACATTTAGCCCTTTGCTGCAGTTTTTTAAAGGCGGTTCACCCTGTTTACATCTAAGATATTTAGCTTGGTGAGCTTCTGACTGTTGAAGTAAGAGTGAACACCAAAAGATCCAAAGTTGTGTCTGGTTGAAATCTGCCATTTTACAGTGTGGAAATAAATCTGCAAGTGGTGGACACTCAATGCAACAGCTCTGCTTTTAAGATAATGAGTTAAAAATGGGGGGAAATGTTTCATTTTTAAGATCATAAAAGCACTACAGTTTAATAATCCAGCATTTGTTTCTCCTCTTCAGTATGTGGAATTTTAGGGCCAGATCATAATCCTGCAGAAGACACCTGGACCAGGATGGTGCATTTAAGTATCAGTCATAAGCTATATGATCTACATTAAAGGGGCTACAATGGGTTAATGTATCATTCTTAACAGCACACCTATTTATGTTTATGCTCAAAATCCCCTCAATATGACCATTTGTGAGTTTTAAGTTATCTTATGGTACACTGAATTTAGGCTAATAAATGATGAGATGTGATGAAAAACAATACAAGACGAAGCACGGAGGTACAGGACAATTATCTTATATATATATATATATATATATATATATATATATATATATATATATATATATATATATATATATATATATATATAACAATGATTTTGTTATCTGTTAGTGTTGTTTGAATTTGATTTTAGATCATTTTTCGTACTTGAAACCATTAACTTTTATTTTTATTATACTACTGTAACTATATCATCCACTTGACTTGCTCCACCGTAACCCACCAGAATAAAACACCCGTACAAAGCTTTCTTCGACCGCCCCTGTTCCTCATCCCGTCTAACCGGGTACCTGTCTCCTGGCTTTCAGCGTGTCCGCCCTGCGCTCCTCCTCCTCCTGGTCAGCCTTGCATAGAAGGCAGTCGCCGCTCCACTCGGCCTCCGCGTCGGAGCCGCTCCCCACGGGCTCCAGACCGAGGCGGTGCTGGGCGCACAGCTTCTCCGCCAGCCGCTCCACCGCGTCCACCAGCTTGTGCCGCCGCAGAGGTCCGACCTCGCGGTGCGGCAGGACGTGGATGTCACAGAAGGACGCCAGGCAGACCAGGCACGACTTGCCCGCCCTCAGCTTGCTCTCTGTCGGACAGAAGTCACACGGCACCTCGCCGGCTTCGCCCAGGTAAAGTTCCGGCTCATGGACCATTTCGCTCAATTTGAGTTTCTCGACGACCTCGGCGAGCACCGTGTTTCTCCGGAGCACCGGTCGAGGGCTGAAGATGTCCCGGCACTGTGGGCAGCTGAACTGGCCCAAGTCTGCCTGGTCCCAGTAGTTGCTGATGCACACCATGCAGTAGGTGTGTCCGCAAGGGATGGACACCGGGTCTCTGAGGATGTCCAGGCAGATGGGACACCTGAACTGGCTCTCTGTCACTGAAATGTTAGCCTGAGCCATTTCTGGGGAGAGCTCGCCTCCGTAGGCGGGTGACTTCTGAGCTGCCAGTCGACGGTGTTCCTCCTAAAATAAACTTTTCCTGACTCTCGAAGTGTGAAGGGGAGAAGTCGGGATGCAGTCCTTCCGCAATGTTCACAACGCGCCTGTTGTGCTGCCCTCAGTGCGGTCTGACAGGTATGCGACGCCTCCAAAGGATCAGTCCACACATACAAAACATCAACAAACACGCTACTTTCTCTGAGCTAAGACTTTTGAGTTTTACTGTAAACGCACTAAAAATTTTAAATAATGATGATAAAAACGATCAAATAAAAATATTATGAGTTAATAAACAGTTATTAACAATGTGTCTTTAACACACATTAATTAAAAATGATAAAATATTAAAAAGTGTATGTGTTTTTATTTTTAGAAGATGATTCTATTGAATGTTCTGATCTATTTTTGCTTTACACATACACCCTTACAATATTGCTTAATGGAATAATATTAGAAGAACAGAAAGAAAGAATGTTTTAACAAGTTTATGTCGCCATCTGTCGACCATTCGCAATAAAGCAGGCACGTCGCAATATTGAGTCATTTTTAAGCCGTAGGAAAAAATTAAATATCAAGTAAAATTCATAACGTTTATAGACAATTTTTTCCAGCTTATTTATAACTTTATTTTTCGGTTATTATTTTGGGAGTTTATTAATGCATTTGATCTGTTTCTTTTGTGGGAGGTATTTACAACAAATCAGTAATTTATTTTGGAACAATACATGTTCAACATATTCAAATTTCCTCTGGGATATTTCTTATCCAAGGTGCAGTTGGTAGAACGGACAACATGGGCCTCATGAGGTGACTGATATCAGCAATACCACAACAGTCAATGACATCAGTGTAAATATAAAAATACAACTTATTCTTGAAGGTCCTGGGTTCAAATCCCAGCCTGAGGTCTTCTACATTGAGCTTACATGTTCTCCCCAGGGCTTTGTCTGGTTACTCTGGCTTTTACCCACCATTCTTAGTTAAAACTCTTGTAAATGCTTGGACTGTTGTTCTAACAACTCTAATTTTTGTGGCTGAAGTTATCCTTAGATCAACTGATTAGGTCTATTTTCTAGTTGGACAGTTTCCAGTCAACTTTCTCTCCATTGATCTGAAGACTTCCTCAGTGTATCCCCAATCTCCTCTCCTGCTCTCAGTCCCAGTCTCTGCCTGAACTCGACCTTAAATCTGGCACAAAGCTTTGAAAGGCGCTCTAGTCCCTCGACTCCATTGGTCCTTTGTTCAAAGCGAGACCCGTGTTGTGCTTGTTGCTTTAGAAAGAGGACTTTTCAGCGAGGCCGTAAGGTGATGCTAGGTCTTTCTTGGCCCAGGGTGTTCCCCGGGCATCTCTGGTATACCTGCGGGACTGAGAGTGGTGAGGAAGGGAGGCGTTGTCCCCGCTCTTTTAGGGGAAAGGCAGCTGGTCAGAGGAGGAGATCAAGAAAGGAGGCGGGGATGGAGGGATTGATGTAAGGCGAGAACGCTGAGAAAGGACAAATAAACAAAGGTGGCGATGAGGGTCTGAGGTGAATTAATTGTATCGAGCTCTTTAACTTTTTGGCGGCAGTCTCTGGAGACAGAAGCGCTGGGAACAGTATACAGTTGATGGAGCATTGACTTCCACCAGTTCAGAGAGAACCACTGGGAACTATTTCATTCCTTTACAAATACAAGATGCTGTGGAACAATATTTTGTGAATGCAGTCATAAACACAGGACCCTGTTTGTTGGATTTGTAGACTTTTCCACCTGTATCATGTTCATTTTGAACAACAAACAATTAATATTCTTTAGGTACTCTTGCAGTTTATACATGATATACACCAAGACAAAAGTCTGCAGACACCAAACTAAAAAGAACAGTTTCAAAGTCCTGGTGCTACTGATCAAAAGTCTTTCAGATTTAGTTTCCAACCTCTTACAAGTGTTGCAAGACGTATGCCGCTGGTGCTGGACTATTCAAAGTGAAAACTTGTAACGTACTCTTGAGTGGATGGAGTCAATGGAGCTGCATAAAGATGTGGTCTGACATGAGTGCAGTAATTTGGTTAGAAGTCTGGCAGCAGCTTTTTGAACTTGCGACAGTCCAATGATGCTTTGCTTAGACAAGTTAATAATGTGTCACAACCTTGAAGGAACTAAGGCATTAATAACAATTTCCAGATGACACTACTTAATGCAGCAAAATTTTGTAAATGACAAACTTGAATGAACAAGAGACTGGACATGACTATCTAAGGTAAAACCAGAGCAAAATTTACCCCAAGGTTCTTGAAGAATAATTTGGCATAAGAGGCTATGGACTACGGGTAGTTTTTCTGTTTTTTTAGCATCAAACTTTTTATTAATCACCAATATGAGAAGTTCAGTTAGAGACCTGATGAGAAATATGATACAACTTTAAAAATGCTCAAAGTATGCTGAAGAGGGAGCATGTAAGTCAGAACAAACCAACAACTCCCACACAGAACCCAGAGGTACACCATAATGAAAATCTAATCTGGAAATCTAAGTTGTTAGATTTCCAGATTATGCAGTCATAAAGATGAATAACATTTATTCTACCAGGGTAACCGGAAGTTTTTAGTTACATTTTACTTTGAAAGCACAGAAAGGAAATCCCCTCTCAGGTGCTTCCATCCAACTTGACGCTAGAGTGACAGGCAGCGTCATGAGCAGGGCTCTCACTCTAAAGACAGAGAAATTCATGGTAGGGGCTTTTTTCAACTTTTACAATGGATTCTTATGAATTCATTGTATTTATACAATAAATTATTATTTCTTTTCAAATCCCCCCCCCCCCCCAAAAAAATAAAAAGGGTTTTTAAAATGCCTTTGTTTTCATAAAAACCTCAGGA